ACCACCCTTTCCCACTTCCCAGAGTCCTAAAATTGTTACAGCAAACCTTTCAGTTCTCCCTACATATGGTACATTCTTGCCCCCTCTACACCTTTGTGTGCTGCTTCTGTCTGGCATACTCACCCTTCTCCTCCTCCCTCCCCCACGGAACTCCAACCCATCTCTTAGAAGCCATCTCAGAGGTCACATGCCTCAATGAATCCTTCCTTGAAATGTCCTGAGCAGCACGAAGTTGCCCACTTTCTGGCCGCCTGCAGACCATTTGTTGACAACCTAGCTACAACTATTTTTGTCTCTCGATTGGGCTTTGGCCGAGGGAGAGACTTTCTATCAGATAGTCATGGCTGTTTTAAAATAGAGCAAGCTGCTGGCTGAGGCGCGCTCAACATGAGGCGTGGGAATTGTCAAGGCGACTCCACGCTGCCTTCCCTGAGGCCCATCCCTTCCACTCACTACTCTTCCAGGGGAGAAGATACCTCTTGTGAGCACAGAGCATACATCTGGGCAGAGTGCCCACTACCTAGTAGGCATGCCACTTTTTTTTAAAGTATCAAATGAATAAAAATAGATTTCTGCCTTATAAGGGAGCATGGATTACTGGATCTCAAAGTTTGTGTCTAAATAGAAATTCCTGCCTTCTATCTCTTCAGAGTCCCTGGATGGAGGATGGGAGGTCCAGTAAGAGAGAGAGCCCCACTTGCTTTCCACTGTACCAAGAAGCCCTGCAGCCAGGAGCCTGCCACTGAGGCTGCCATTCTTCATTGTTAGAAGTCTTTGGAATCCAACAGGCAGTATTGACCCTATTATCTCGCTGCCTGTGCCAAGCGCACACCCCCTCATGCTACCCCATGGAAATTCAGAGGCTAGGGTCTCTAAGGCCCTTAGTGTCGGCTTCACTGAGGTCTTACATACTTAGAAGCCCATGCTTCTGAGCCATGGAGACCCCTTGGGTTCCTGTCTGGCCTTTCCCACTGATTAGCTGTGTGACCTCAGGAAAGCTGCTTTTGTCAATGAATTCCCTCAGCTGTACAACTGAGGACAGAACACCAGGGGTGGCTTGAGGATCCATCAACATTCACGCTCAATACCTAGCGTGAAGTGACACCATTCTTAGTATTTCCCCCTTGACTCCGGTTCCATCTCCGTTTCCATCTGCAGCCCCCAGTACCAGAATCTGTCATTTTCTTTCTAGATTGGAAGATCCACAGTTCTAGATCCTTCTGTCATGGCTCCTAGGAGAACACCTAGTCCTGGCCTGCTTATTTTTCCTGTTTATAAAATTATCACCCATCTACTCTTTCTTGTCTCTTTCTTATGCTCCCCAGCTGGCTGGCAGTTCAGTTTCCTTAAGGTTAAATCTGTGCTTAATAACATTCTGTTTCAAGCACTAATTTCTTTTTAAAAATGCAATACATCAGTAGTTAGGATATCAAAATAGTTTTACACACACACATACACAGGGGCTGGGGGAGAGAGAGAGAGAGAAAGAGAGAGAGGGAATGCGTGCAGGCACCCATAAGACATGCATACCTACTTACTCATGCATCTCCATGTGAATAGTTGTCTAATTCATTAGGCTGTGTTTCACAACTTCCCAATAAACTTTAATGTGTTTTTGCCGCAGAGCATTCTGTAATTTAACCCGAAATGTCAGTGACCTGCACAACAGTTCAACCCAGACAGACTCAGCAGTGGTAATCAGTTCCTTCAAGAAAGGGCATTTGGTGAGGCTGGAGAGATGACTCAGCAGATAAGGGTGCTGGCTGCTCTTCCAGAGGTCCTGGGTTCACCCACTTGGTGACCCACAACTTTCTGTAACTCCAGTTCCCAAGGATCTAATGCCTTCTTCTGACCCAGTACCAGGCACCAGGCATGAATGTGCTGTACAGATATACATGCAGGCAAAACACCCAGACATACAACATTTTTTAAAAGAAGAAAGAAAGGGCATTTGGTACTCTTGGCATACTTCTTCTCTGCCTCTTTGCCCCTCCCGATTTGGGGTCCGTGAACAGGACTACCCCTTGGTTCCACGAGGCTGAACATTGATGCAAACAAACCCATAGTCCTTCAGAGTGTTCTGACCTATATCAGAGTTCTGCTCTTCAAGGCTGGACCAACCTCCATCCAGAACCAAATCAAAACCTAAGGACTTGAGTCAGGAAAGAAGCATTTGCATTTCAAAGTGTTGTGGAACATGCGTGTACATCAAGTAGGCCACCAGCCCATTGTAACTTGAGAAAGTTATGAGACTGTAACTTGAGAAGAAGTGAGAATAGGGATCTGGAGGAAGAAACTTCCAGCTGCAGGAGCTTTCAGATGTATGAGACTTCGGAGAATTCAGATCTTGGCCTAGGAGCCAGGGTCACAGAGTAAGGGGCTGTTGCTGTGGACAGGCTCTTCCTGGGTTTCAGGGCACTTTGGTTGAGGAAGAACCCATAGTGTCCCTGGACAAAGTTGGAGCTTGTGAAGTGAAGTCGGACCTAATTGGAGACCCTCAGCATTGGCTTTGCATACCCAAGGCTGTCAGAGCTTGAGGCCTGGAGATGAGTCTTCCCGGTGAAGTCATGAGAGTCTCCAGACAGCTGTGAACTGCTTACATAGGCTTCATTCTTGAACACATGTTCAGAGATGTCAGAGATGGTCAACAGCGATGCAAATGGTCTCTCCAGCCTCAGTAGAGAGCATCCACACTGACTAAATGAACGAGGAAGGGCATGTAGACACACATGCACCCACCCAGAGAGAGGAACAGCAAGCAGAGTAATGTAACAAATCCCACACCCCGGGGTCACAACAACATCCTAGAAGAACAGAACACATCCCTTCAGAAGAGCAGCAGGCACAAGTGCTAACCGAATATTGTTGCACTGTGTGGAGGGTTCGCAATACCTCCCCCATTGTGGCCATGGAGAAGGAGGCTTGGTGAGAGACCTGAAAAAAAGGGAACTTAGCAGGTGCTATTCTAAGGTCCCCTTCCCATTCGGTAGGTGATGGATAAGCCTTAGTAGGTACTCTTCTACCATGAAACTTCTACCAGAATTCTAGAATGAGAGTTGCTGTGCCCACCCTCTCCTCCTTCTCCTCCTCATCACTCACATCCGGGCCTCAGCCCTTTAGGTGTCTCCAGTGTGGTGACCTCCAGCATCTGGGGTGCTACATCTTCATTAGAAACGCTCCTGGGGTCCCCACAGTGAGGAGATCTTGAGAGCTGAGCTCTGCTGTTCATCGGACCCACTTTGACTGCCTGGTGGTTTCCCTGTCCTGAACGCGGGCAGCGAAGCACAGGCAACAGCAGGTTTCCGTGAGAGAACGGTGCCTCTGGTCCCTCAGCACTGCAGCACTCATGGGAAATGCAGCGCTCTCAGGCTAGAAGACAGACAGCAGCGAAGGCAGACAATGGGCATCCAGGGTCATCACTGACATACGAACATAACTCTCTACTCGACCAATTCCCTGCAAAAGACTACAGTCAAGGTCAACCTACCTATTTCCTCACCCTGAGATTACAATGCCTCCCTCAAGTTTTCTTCCTCTCTCCCTTCCTTCCTTCCTTCCTTCCTTCCTTCCTTGCTTCCTTCCTCTCTCCCTTCCTTCCTTCCTTTGACAAATAATGGCAGCCATTTTTGAAATTGTCCAGTGCATTGTGGGGACATAGTAGGTGTCTTGTTTTCTGCCTTCATAGTTTAGGACCCAGAATTGAGTATAAAATGATGTTTTTTAACCACAGTTGTTGCTATTTGCTGCATCTGTTTCAAATGCTCACGTCATACAGAGGACATGTGTTCTCTCTGTACATGTCAGAGGCCTTGTCGAGAGAGTACACACAGCCCTTAAACTGAGGCCGAGCAATCCAGGTGAGAGCAGGCACACAGCAGGGGTTAGGGCTGTCACAGAAGCTTCCACATTGGAGTGGAAGATCTCTGTGCCCCCAGAGTACTTATGCTGCAACTCCCACAGGATGAACTGTGTCACGGTGGGAACAGGACATCACGAAACTCTCTGGGGCGGGGCGTGACGAATGTCCCTACTCTCTCAAGGACCAGAGGTTATCACCGCAGTGATCCCTTGCCAGGACTCAGCAGGCATCCAGACAGTCCTTTTTATTTGCACTGTTTGCTTCTTATGGTTGCATCAATTAACAATGATACAAGGTTGACCACAAGGCCCTGGAAAGAAGGCAGCAATGGACAGGCGATGACACTCTCAGAGGCCCACCTCCGGCTACTAAGTTTATAACGGGCACGCCACTGACGCATCAGCTGTCCTGGGAGGCTCCATGTGACTGCATCCCCAGGAAACCCAGGCTCTGAGAGTCTTCAAACCCTTCACAGGGTCATAGGGGAGGTCTGGAGTTTGAACCAGGTCTTCCTCCCACGCCTACCAGTGTACAACTGCTCATGAGCTGGAGGCAGACCGCGTGATCGGCAGGGAAGGCCCTGAGCCGGGAGATTCTGCAGTGAGTACATTTATCTTCTGTGTATGGATTATTCATGAGCCATTTCACTTTGCTCCTGGGTAGATATGTAATTTTCCTGTTACAGTTTGAACCCCAGCACCACACACACACACACACACACACACACACATACACATAAAATCTGTTAGGAACAGTTAGAAAAATTTTTCCTCTCTGTCTGAAAGGATGAAAACCACTTACCAAAAGTAAAAACAAAACCAAAGCCAAACGGAAAGAAAAAAAAAAAAAAAAACAAATCCAACCCTTACACAATCCCCAAACAACAAATGTGCTGAAAAGTAAAATTGCCAGGTTCGTTATTATTGGCGCAAACCACAATTCTAATTGGCAGGCCCCAGAGCTGAGAGGAGCAAGTGAGGACCCGGTTGTGAGCTTGCTGTCCAGAGGAGAATGCCAAGCCACAGGCTGCAAGGTACCTTCTTCAATGGAGGCCATAGTGGTTCTTTTTAATTCATTAATCCAATGTGGAATATACCAGAAGGAGGATAGAACTCTGTTTAGACACAACTCTGACATCGTCTGATTTTAAGAAGTTTTACTAACACCACAGTCACGGCCTTGACAATACTGAATGCAAAATACTGGTGTACACAGGTTTTTACAGAAGGGGTCCCGAGAGCCCGGTCCCAAAACAAGGTTAACAGATGGGAGAGGCCTGAGGGAAGGGCAAGCACACGAGAATTTTATTGAGAAAAAAGCTTATATACTGTAAGGGTTGCTGAAGTTTAATAAATAAAGGTCAACTTATAATATATAAAAACAATATAAACATTTATATGCTACATGCATATCATATAATTTAAAGTAATAATTTATATGTAGGGACAGATGCCAATTCATGTTCTTCCGATTTTTCTCGACAAGGCACACACACAGGAAGTGTCTATTCGTATCCAGCGCCAGCCTACGAGTTTGTTGTTTTCTGAGGTCAGTGCTCGGACGTAGGTTTGGGACGTTTTGCATTGAGAGTTCCAGTGTTTGTCATCAATTCCCCTGCAACCGTTTTTAACTGGCCTCGCTTCTTTACATCTTGTTTCATAAAAGTATTGTTTGACAGGGGAGTTGCCGGTTTTGATCTCCCCCAGCACTGTGACCTGGTGTCCCCGAATGTCAATGGCTGAGGACTTGTCGGTCACCCACAGACTCTCACTGTCACACACTGAGTACTCTCCTCGGTGACTCTTATGCTCTGCGTACCGTTTCCGCCGTGATGATGTTCTATTGGCTACCACCGGGTTGCCCACATAATCCTCCATGAGATACAAGGGAGGGGGCTCCAAAGGGGTGCTGTCACTCAGCAGGACCCGGGGCGAATTGTAGCGTCTCTGTTGCCGCAGTAGTTCTGTGTCCGTTGCAATCATTGGCTGGAATTCCGACCTGGTGGACTCTCCCTGCTCCGGTTCTCTGGGGGCTTCTGCTTTGGGCAGGGTGCTCTGGTAATTTTCCTTGACATCCACCATTTGCTTGGAGAGCTTGTTTTTCAAAATATCTGCCTGGATCAGCTTTATAATGAGGGAATTGAGCGAGTCTTCTGGCAGACTCCTTTGATCCATGTTGTTACCTTGGATGCCACGGAGATAAGCGAGAAATATCACATAAAACAAGATGGACATCACCTTGTTCACCTGTAAGATCTGAAAAAGGAAACACAGGTGTTAACAGCTGTCTGGGAGAGTCTGGGTCATTCCGGTATCAGCTGCCTGAGGCTGGCAATCTCTGAGAGTAAAGAGAGGGCACCACCATTTGAGGAAGCAGCGGAACTCCTCCCTGCTCTTTAGAAGGGGCAGTTTCCTCCCCCAGCCCCTGAGAAACACTGGGAAAGGCACCGCACAGGTCTTCCGATGGCTTGCTTCCTACACTGACAGCACCGGTTGCTTTTACATTAGATGTCTGCATGGTGCCCCAGCTTCCTGCTGTGCACCCATGACATCCTGACAAGTCCCTTGAACTTGGGAAGACACATATGGTCCACTGTACTGAGACAGCAGTGAGGACGGCATCAGTGGACGACTTGATCAGCTCAGAGCCTCGTAACGTTCTCAAGACATGGAATTCCTGTCCCCAGTTCTAGTCTGTAGGGTCTTCCAGAGGAACACACTGAGGCTGGGAATTGGGTCCGCTGTTTTTATAGTGTGGCTTCAAAGAGAGGCTCATTCCGGGCCCCTTCTGTCCTTGGAAACAAACACAAGACCACTGGCCACCTGCCGAGAGGGCCTAAGTGTCAAGGTACTCTGCCAGGCTCTCAGAAGGACATGTGTCACCAGGACACCCCTCAGATCTACCAACCCTAAAAGCCACAGCTCTGAAGCACTTCCTGCAGGAGACAGAGAGACCCAGCAAAACTCCACTCAAATGAATGGCTCCGCCTGCTCTGAGTAGCAAGGGTTGATTCTGATTCCTTTTTTTCCTCCTAGGGATTTTGAGTTTCCATTATACTATTTCTTTTTGTAGTCCTATACTACTCCTTCTGTGGTCCCCCCTTTTTAAAGGGTTCTTTAACCCACCACACTCTTCTTCTGTTGCCATAACAGAACCTCAGCACAGGGCTCCTGGTGAGTCCTTGTGGAATTGCAGAGGGATCCTGAGATCCTCCCCACTCACCTCTCCTGCACTGGGGCCAAGCCCACGTTTCCGGCAGGTTAGCCCAGGAGGCAGATTCTCAGGTGGAAAGACAGCCGAGCTGGTGACCCTGACCTTACAGTTCCCTCACCCCACCCCCAGAGCGTTCACTTTTTAATCACCGCTGCTGCCACCCCAATGGCCCCATGGGTATTTTCTCTTCCGAGTTCTGCCTTCACATGGAAAATAAAATCCTTTCCCTTGGTTCAGTGTTGGTATTTTCAGAAAGATCTTCTAAGATCCAGGGGGAAAACAAAGGAACAAACAACCTTGACACAAGCTGTAGAAAAGGACTCCTGATTCGGAATCTTCACCGAGGAGCCTGTCCTCAGAATCCACCTCAGCCTCTTCCCCCAGCTCCTCTCAAGTGGGGCTTTCTCTCTCATCCCCAAAGGTTGACAAAGGTCCAGGCATTAACTGGGCCGTCTACCCACTGGCTCCTGGCCTGCCTCTGTGATAAAGGGCCCATCTTCCTTCCCTGGGAACCGCTCCTAGGATAACTGACTCCTTCAAGGTCAAAGCTAAGGGAAGGGTTCTACCATGGCTGCCTGCCCTAGAGACTACTCCAGGAATTGTGTTATCCCAGGAAAATGGTTCCCACAGGGTAATTCATCTCCCTCCCACTCTGCAGAGAAGTGACATTTCTGTCAGTCTTGCAAACCTAACAAAATGCAACTTCAAGAACACAAAATAAGCAGCATGCACCCAGCTTGAGTGTCCACCCTCACCCCAGCAGAGCTGCAGTAAAATCATCTGAACCTGGAAGTCTACCAAAACACAACTTATCAAATTATCCCAAAGCCCGGACACAGGAGGCTACTTGGTCACAGGGCAGAAAATCAGGGATGATGTTTGTATGTGTGGGACCACAGATAAAGTAAAAGGCTGTACAGAGGGGTTGTCAAGGTAATTGTGAGGATGATTTGGCAAGGTGGATATTGGATGGTGCGATGGACTTAGGATAAGAAGAAAGTCTTTGGGATGGTAGCTTGAATTTTGAAGCAAAAATTACTGCTAGGAAAGACTTATTGAGGGCCGGAGAGCTGGCTCTGGGGGTAAAGATGCTTGCTGCTCGTCTAGAGGACCCAAGTTCGGTGCCTGCACATGCCATGCTGGGTGGTTTACAACTGCATGTAACTATAATGCTAGGGGAGCTAACAGTCTCTGCTGACCTCAGTGGCACCAGCACAGATGTGGCGTGCACATACACACACACACATACAAATAAAAATAAAAGCAAACCTTTTCAAAACAAAAGCACATGCCTTCACTGGTTTGCTAGTCAGCATTCAGCTACTATAACAAATACCAAAGAGGATCAATATATAAAGAAAAAGAAAAGGTTTTCTTGGCCCATAGCTTCCAAGGCTTCAGATCACAATGAATTGGTCTTGTTGCTTAGGTTTTTGGTGAATGGCAAAGAGTGCTTGAGTGAAAAAAATTAATCATGATCTGGAGCTAAAAAAAAAAAAAGAAAAAGAAAAGAAAAAAGAGGAAAGAGGAGAGAAAGCAATACCCCAGGGCACACCTCCAGTGATGTGAAAATCTCTCACAAGCTTTCCGTACCTACCACCAAGTCAGGACCAAACCTTAAACACATGGGCCTGTGGGAGAAATTCCCGGTATAACCTCCAACTATTTTACAGAGAGGGCCTCTCAGGGAAAGGAGGTGGGGTATCTTTGCCCTCTTGCTCCAATTTCCCATCATAGTTGTATCGGGCTCTCATGCCCCACACTCCAACCGGATTCACTATTTCTCTGCTGCTTGAGCAAGCTTTGTGACTCATGGGTAAGTCTTCTGCCCTTGTCATTGTCATGGACACTTCTGTTGAAATGGTCCCATTCCTCACTGCTGGCTTCATAAGTTGGCCTTTCTCTGGTGCTCTCCAATTACCTCCAACAACAGCAACCATGCTCCCTTCACACTCGGTCAGCCTGTCCTCCAAGTGGCTACTTTAGTAGGTCTTGCATCCTTCACAGACCCAGGGAAGTTAGCCTGGATCTCACCCACTCCCTCGTCCACATTGTCACTTACCCTCTATCCACTGTGGAGTGAGTCACGACAGTATGCCAGGTGCAGGTTGCTAAGCGTTTCTAAACTGTCTGCAAGCCTTTCTCAAACCCCAGCAGGCATCCTCTGGACTCCATTTTGAAAATCTATTTCCTTTCCTTTCCTTCCTTCCTCTCTCTTCCCTCCCTCCATTTCTTTGTTCCTTTCTTTGTTTTTGGAAAAAAGCAATCCCAGGAATATTGGAACAAATTTTTTTTTTTAAATATCACATTGCAGGATGCATAGGATCCTAGACATTTCATTTCTGCAGACAGAAAACTGAGGTCTAGTGGACTGTTAGTTAACTGCAGGGATTAGAGGACTTGGTTCTTAAGCTCTACAAGGCTTTTTCATCACCAGGTAACTGGAAGGACACAATCGGGCACACACTGAGTGTACTAGAAATGGCAGTTGAACATGAACTTGAGTTGTCCGTGGTAACAGGCAGGCTGTACTTCTTCCCCTCCTGCATGTATGCACAGAAGACCAAACATCTGGAAAATTCCTCTTTCTACATCTGGCTCCCAGCAGTCTGTACCAGCATGGTGGCTCCCAGTTGTCATTGCTCACACATGCTTGGAGCTCAGACCAGCCACGCTGGTTGTGGGAGAGAAGGAACACCATGCATTGGATACACAGGGATGGGAGATTAAGGAAGCAAGTGTGGGAAGTGGAAAGTGAGGTTCGTGACTACGCTGGCCATGAGGAGAGGCGAAGAGTGACTTCTGGTCCTTTTTTGGTCAGCAGTCCCTTTACTTCCTATCATGTCTCTTGGGGTAGGACTTTTCCCTAGGGACTATTTCCCCAGGGTGGGGAGTGGACACAGGAAGGCAGTGTCGGCTGGGCCAGGCATGACAGTGAATTTACTTTCACTTATGGAGTGCTCACAGTCATCTGAAGAAGGTTCAACTTCAGCAAGTGTCCTACGGTTGTTATTAGCAGTAGGTCCCCTCCTCCATGATGGGGAACCCTGTCTATTTAATCCACACATCCTACAAGCCCAGCCCCTGGCTCGACATCACGGCAGAACTTCAGTGTCTGCCGACTGAATGGGCACCGACACCAATCAAGACCTACCCAAGGCATTGCTTACTGGCTTGAAATCCTGCATGGGCTTCTGCCAAGCCTGGATTGGAAGCTAATCAACTCTGCCTTATTTTCCCAAAGAAAATATAGGCCTTGGCTCTGAAGCAGGCCACAGTCCCCAGGCTCTTCTTGGCTATAATTAGAAAAAGACCTGTTAAAGACCTCAGTAAAACCCCCTTCCTACCCTCTCTCTAGTGCCCATTTCCCTGCTTAGACTTTTCCAAGATCCCGACCAGCAGGCACATGCTATTTTCCTCACTTAGCAATGCTTTCCCACATATGGTGTTTTCTCAGTCCCTGGAGCAACATTCCTAACAAGGTTTCACCATCCTTCAAAATACTCAAAAGAGAGCAATTTCTGATTCCTCCTTTTTGGCTCAGTTTCCAACACATACCGAGGCTTTCTGGGTATTCGGCAAGTGGCTGAAATGGGAAAGGGAGCCGGGGCACGGGGTGGTAGTGCCCCGGAGACCACAACAGCCTGTATCCGTGCTGGTACTTGCAGAAGGGGCTTTGCCTCTCTGGGACCAGCTTCCCTACCCAGGAGCTGACTCCTGACTATACACCTGCAAATCGCTCTTGTTGAACATGCATGGGTTTTTTTTTTTTAAACCAGCATACAGTCAGTCATTGCACCAAGCGATGGGTTTCGTTATGACACTCTTATCCACCAATGCCATGTACTCTGAGCATAGTCACCTCTCCATACCCTGATTTGTCCACTCCCAAGTAGTCAGCCCTTCTGCTTGCACATCTCTTTGATACGAGAACAACCATGTGATAAGTCTTTCCAAGTCCGACTCATTTGCTTCACATGAGGATTTCAGTGTATGGAGTACATTTTTTTTTTTTTTTTAGCCCGGTGATGGCGAGCTCCTC